AAAGGATATATAGGCGATAGGATTTTAACTCACCATCTTCTGACGAATATTTTTCAGAATCTACATCTTCAGCCGGTACGTCGAGTTGTGATTCATCGGAATATCTTTATGTAAGAAAACTAGATTATATATTTGTATTATTAATAAAAAGTTATACATACGGATCCATCGTTTGATCTTGTGATATATAATCTTCATATTGAAGACCACCTAAGTCTTCAGCAAATATTTCGTTGTGGAATATAATCATTGTTTTAATAAGCTCATTTATTTGATTTTGGTATTGTACTTGATCTTTATCTTCAGGTACTCTCATTAGTGTTGGACCAAAACAAACTGCCAAATTATAAGCATCCATCATATTGGCATCGGAAAATTCAGATAAACTAAAATATTAAGATAATAAAATATGTATAACAATAACGTAAATTATTATTTAACTTACTGATGTAAAAATGCGAATAGAAATCTAATAACGATCACAATATTACGAGGAATTCTTTGCAAATAGTTTTTAATTTCAACAACAATTTCGTTTTTCGAACGTATTTCTGTATTGAAAAAAATAAACAGAGAATTGTGAAAATAAACGGTAAAAGATAAAGGTTTAAAATTATTGAATTACCTGCAATTGACATAAAATTATCAAAATAAATAAATGGAAATAGTGGTTCACGTAATTCTCGTAAATATAATTTTAATACTCCTGCCACCGAATTTATATCAGATGCATCATTTGTATCAGCGAGAGGATCTTCGCCTCTTTCAAATGCCTCTCGAAAATTATTTATTTCAACTTGTGAACCTGAAACTCGGAATATTCCTTGATGTTGTAAACCTAGATTTATAAGGAGAAAAAATTTAAAAATTTTTTTTATTAACAACTAATAAATAAAAACAAGATTATTGAAGTATTTAACTATAATTTTATTTTTCGAAAAGCCTAAGAATTTTGTATTTTCAATGCTATCAGATCCACTAACAATTTAAAGGGAAGAGTATGGAAGTTTAAGGGAATGAAATATAGAAGAAGATTATATAAATAAATGCGTAAAGTAATGATAAAAAAAAGTAATGATGTTTTATACACTTTCTGGACTCTTAACATATTAATAGGGCAAAGTCACAAATCAATGGCTTTTAGACCTAGCAGTTGAGGCTGTGAACCCCAGCCATTTTTTAATGCAAAGAGTCAGGAGATAAAGACACTCAGCCTAACCTACGAGTACAAAAATATAGTTCTAAAGATAAGTGACGAAGCAAAAAAGTTACTATGCAGATTAAGAGAAATTATGGGACCTAGTAATCTCGGTACAACGAAGGCACAGATCACTTTGGCTTAAATAGATTTCTGTATATATCGAAACAATTAATTACATGAAAGGTCTCAAATGGTCTAAAGCTACAGTTTGACCACATATCAGGAACTGGCTAATATATATATGAAAAGTAACTATTTAGTGCGTGTCTATACCCTGACTTTAGTTTCATCTGAAAAATTCTTACTGAAACATGCAGTAACCATTTTTTGAGAAATTATTGGTAGAGGTTAAAGAAATTATTATATCACTGTATAGGGATTACAGCCCTTATCCGATCTTATAGTCGTCATTCTTATTGATTCTATTTTCGCAATTAGTTTGTATAAAAAATGCAGCTGATTTTGATATTTAATAGAAAACACCCAGATTCGAGATCTATGTGATGAATAATCGACATTTGTAGACAGCCGTACGAAACTAATGTAATAAATTTTCGATCAAGGCTACTAAAGGCGTATGTTGGTTGGTCGTAGTGTGCAGTTGTTATACTAGACGTTAAAAATGCTTTGAAATCGGCTGAGTGGAGTAGTATTTTAAATCCACTAGTGAAAGAAGCAGCTTAAGATTATGTGTTAAAAATAATTATATCCTACTTGGGGAACAAATTACTCGTCTAAGATAACGTAAAACTTATTATGTTTCGGGTGGAGTCCTCCGCATCTGTCGATCTTGAATGTTTCTACAAGTAGATATAAAATCGCTTGTAGTCAGGTGTTGTTTATCATACGCTCACGCACACAAAGTGCTAAAGGTATACAATTTGTGTCAGTTTCACATATAAAAATTGGGGACAAGTACAATTATAAATTGCAATATTAATGGGATCACTGCATAAGTGAAGGGAATGCATCTGCTTATTTTAAATATAAAAGTATGGATTAATCGAATAGCTAACGACTTCTGTGCAGTTAAAATAAAACATCTAAACCATATAATAAGTACCTAGGGTGTAAGATTTTGTTCATACCAAACGAAATCTAGAAACTGAAATCGGTTAAGACAGTCGTTCATTTAACTGTTAAACTTATAAATGCCATTATCTCTAGAATAATCAACAAAGTCAAATTTGAACAATTCTATAGGATTCAAACCAAATAAAGCACTATAACTGTGTTTTTAAATTATTTCTACTACAGGGCTCTACAGATGTTGGTGCTGTATTTTTGTGGTGTATTGGTGGTTTATTTTTGATCAGTAAGCATGTATGACTCATAGAGTTATACATAAATAAAGTATATAATTGGTATGAGACAATTGTATCTTAAGTAGATGTTCTTCTAGGTTTAATAACACCTAGAATAATATTGCTGCCATGTCATGTCACGTAGAGGTCTCTACTAGAAAAGGAAACCTCAATAGATGGCCCTACAGTTTTGTATAGCTCAGCAGTATTACAAAATTTATAGCATCTGTTTAAACGGATTTGAAGTTCTAAACAATAAGTTTGATTCGTAATTTTTATAAAGCGAAACCACAATTATTTAGTTCGATTACAAATTTAGTATCGATTCAAAAACGGTATATCAGTTAAGAACCAGTTTAGTTAAAGATTCCTATGTTTAACAGATATAGCGAAGATATGTGTTTTATTGTATAATTTGATAGGCACTTAAAGTCTGGTAAAGATTGTATAGTTTTCCGATTGCCTTAAAATTTTGCACTTAAAGATAATTTATCTAAGATTAAAGTTGGTTTTGTTTTTTTTTAATTTTTTTAGGAATATTAAATCTTTGTTTCGAGCGTTAATTCTTTATATATCTATACGTATTTCGGCATATTCGCTTTTACCTTCTTCAGGAGAATTCATAATATCTAAGATACTTACAAAAATATTTTGATATGTAGAAATTATATTATTTAAAAATTACTTACCGTAAAGATTAATTACACGAACACAACTTCTTATAATAAGTGGAACATCCTCACCAGAACTCTCCAAATAATCTTCTAAAGATTCTCCAAATAATTTCGTTTGCTTGAATTTGTTCACATGGCCGATTCTTTTTCGTTTCGAAACTAATAAATCTCTGCACGTAGTAGACCGGAAAGAATCATCAGTACACAAATCCGTGCATTTTTTAAGAAAGTCTGCTTTTGCATTCAATCTTGCTATCCTTGATGTGCCTTTCAAATATTCATGTATTTTCTAAAATTATAGAAATTTTTATTATTAATTATATATTATAAAAGCATTTTTAAAGAAATACGTACTGCTAAATAAAAATCTTCTATTTCTTGTTTGTTTTCGTTATTTCTAACTTCATTATCGAATGTGGTTGGTTCAACTGTTAAATTTGCTCCTTCTCCGCAGTTATATTTTCTTTCGCCAATATTTTCCAACAGTTTATTTTCCGTTACTTCTAATGTTTTCCAATTTTCATCAGCCTCAATCCTTAAACAAGTTAATCTTTGCAAAATCGCTTTAAGTCGTTGTTCCATATCCAAACATAGCTCTTGCTGTAGATCTGATATTGTGGTTGAGTTATTTAATTTGTTTTGTAAATCAAGACGTTTTGGCACCATAAAAGCTGTATGATGTTGTTCTAAAAACTTTTGCTTATCAGCTCGAGTATCAACAGATTGCGCTAAATGTGACATGCATTCAGCTTGCGATTGTATTAAATTCGATCTTTTTTGGTCAGCCGATATGTGAGTGAAAATTGTTCTTGAAATCATTGAGCCGAAACCAAAGTCCATGCACTAAATCATTATTATAACACATTATTTTTTATATAATTTAAACAAATTTTGGATTACTCACATCTATAATATCACTTAAATCCTCAACAAAGTACTTGTGAATTGTTGAATTTGCAGCTTCAAGGTTTAATTCATATTCAAGTTTGGCCCTTAGAGCTTTGAGCTTAATATCCATATATTTATTTTTTCTCTAAAATGAAGAATTCAAATAACGTTTTCAAAATTATGTGAAGGAAAAAAAAATTAGATCGATATTAAGCAACATCTATTTTATTTTCAGATATCTACTAAGAAAAACAAGTTCGAAATAAGGTTATGTCCTGACAAACTGATTGTGAGTGATAGCCATCAACAAACGGACTAACCAATAATTAAAGAGGAAAAACCTAAATGGTTAATGAGGTAGAGATTCATCTGTATAATAAATTGAATTAGTATAGATGACATATATATATAATAATTTAATCAACAACTCTATAAATTTATAACGCCTTTAATATTTCAGTTATATAAGAGAATAAATTTTGAATATACTAAATAAAATTTGAAAATATAGTCAGTTAAGATAATATTGGTTCGTTGTATTAAACACTTTATTTTAATGTTGTTATAGGCCGTGTAGATCAACAACAAAGGAGAATAGATTCACAAGACGAATAGATAAGTCAATATAGATGTGGATGGAAATGGCGGAAAATTAGGGTTGTGTAAAATGCCAAGTGGCTGATTTATTATATTAGGCGATATTACTTAAATAACATCTGATTAAAATCTTTCACTAGAAGCGTTTTGGACTCTATAAGAAGATCGTCAACATGGGACTTGCGATGGCAGCCGGTTGCCATCGCTTTATTCTCACATAAAATTCTGACCTGAAAGTAATATGAATTCTACTAAGACATTTCGTCTCTTTCTTCTTCGTTAGCTTTCTTCAAAAGCAGTTAAAATAAGGCACTGAATATGGTTGTTTTAAATCCATAAAACCATTTGATTGATGGTATATAATATAATTTAATAATTAAAAAATTATTAGTGTAATAGTTGATTACATTATTTTAACAAATACAATACCTCTTTAAGATCCATAAAATCTTTTTGGTGATTTTTTATAATATTATATTAAATGTCTATTACCTTTTGAACTTCCTTTTCTATTAATTTGTATTTTTTACTATTGTCTAGTTTTTCTTTTGATATTGTCTGCTTTAATTTAAGTTGTTGAGCTTCGACAGTCATCAATTTATTTTCCGCCCCTTTGATATCATTCTGGAAATAAAACCCAAAAACAAAAAGTTTATGTATATAAAACTTATTTCACTTCATATTTTTTTTTACCTCATATTTTTGATATGTGTTCATTGTAGTGTATAGCTCATGAAAAATTCTGAATATTTCCTCCTGAATATCGTATGCAATTCGTCTGCACTTTAAATAAAAATTAATAATATGTCAATATTATAGAAATAATTTTATAATAAATACATTTCATAAGAATTAGAAAAGTGCAAGCAAACTTTATAACATAGCGAGACTACTTTCCGGAGCCACTTGTCGTTTCAGATACTCCAGTACCCTCGCGTTCAAAACGGATCAAGAAAAGAGATTTAGCAGATACTTTATTCATATATACAGTTTTTGTTTTTAAAGGTTTATAGCTTTAAATCGAAATTTAGCGAAATACAAAATCGGTTAATTATATTCTATAAAAAGTTTTATATTTTGAAGTAGCAAATTTTTCTTCCCCTAATCCAAATAAATTTAAAATTGCAATATTTTTATTACCTATATACTTGAAAATGTTTGCATATCCTTGTTTTTCAAAATGTTTGTAATAGGTTTGTATTAAAAATGTACTTTATGTATACTCATATAATTTTATTATTAAATAGAATAAATAACTTACTTTTTGATAAATTCTTTGCACATCTTCTGCAATAGCTTGTAATCTGGAAACAATATTTACTGCATATAAATCGGATAGAGCAGCATGATCCTTTGATAAAAGCTGTGCTTCGTTAACTATATGCTTCCACCAGGAAAATGTTGAAAACAAAGGCCATATCATGCGCCTATAAAAATAATTTTTTTGTTATTTAATATATAAAGTAGGTTAACATTATATATACAAATTTTGGCAAATCTTAATGGTTTGGTTAAGAGCTTTTTAAATTTCATATTTTTTTACTATACAATACAAGATATAATCATTTATATCATTTGGTTTGTCATTAGATAAACTGAATAATAAAAATAAGTACTATATGTACTATATGCTGTGTGTAAGTGTTATTATAGTATAATCATTTATATCATTTAGTTTGTTATTAGAACAACTCAGTAATAAGAATAAGTACTATATGTGTATGTGTTATAATAGTTGAAAACAAAAATATAAAGAATAATACAATTTTTTTAACTTTTTACTCTCTTTAACTCAATATTTAATGTAAATAGTAAACTCAATGGTTAGGAAAACATGAGTTTAATTAACATAAAGCGGTAAAAGTTTCTCTTAATTGAAACAAAAACAAATTAAAAATCAATGCTAATTGAGAATATAAACAGAGCTTAAATGATATTAAAATTACTGTTGTTATAATTTACAATTAGCATTCTACTTACTTCTGTTTTTGTTCCTTATGTTTCAATAGTACAGATCGAGATAATTTATCAAGGCTTTTGCTGTATTCCATTTCTAATTCACCTCGCCGACGATAAAAATCTTGCAGTTCCTGTATTATTGCCACTTGCGATTCAACTCTGCAATCGAGACATCGCAGTTGTTCAGTAAATTGCTGTTGTATTGCTAAAGATATACATAATTTTTATAAACAATTAGCAATCATTAAATGTCAATACGTAATTCATTAAGTTAACAAATTTAAATTCTTAGATTTAAAATATTTAACAAATTAACAAGTGTATGAGGCTTACTGTTAAAATCCAAAATTTTTCTTGTAGATCCTACACGTTTCATAGGACTTTTCCCATCAACATCATTTTCGTCCATTATTGCTAAAGGAACTTGTCCTTCCGTTTTTTCAGAGAAATCGATCTAAAAATTTATAATTTTCATTTACATTTTTAAACAAATATATATATAAATATATATATTAAAAAATAAATGTACTTTCAAAATATTGTTTGTATATCCAATAGTCTGCAGAATTGTTAATTGAAATTATTACTAACATAATATATATATTTATATATAAATAACTTGATTTTACATAAAACATATATAAAATAAATAATTTTAACTAAAAATAATGAATTTCTTTCAATGAATCTTTATGTAAAAAATTATTCCGTAGCAGACACATTTCGCGGTTTACAATAATTGATTAAAATAAAATTGGTTACTTAAAACGATGCCTAAGTTAGTAATAAAACATTACTACTATAAATTATAATGGTTAAAACTCAATTATAACAGGTTATTGTAAAATTGTGTAAACTATTACAACCACTTTTAATTGATTTATACTACATTTTTGTTGCAAAGACATCCTTTCAACATGCACAGTTTTCAATTAAAACGAAGAAAATCCAAGTAATCATTTAAATATTTTTGTACATTTTATCACATAACATAAGAACAAAATGTCTATGCATTTTTAATTAAATATATATGCATATATATACATGTATAGTTTCAATCAACTATTATAGTATGTACTTACTAAGGTGTGTTGTATGAAAGGAACGCGTATCCACAAACAAGGATAAATTGCCTGTGATGGCTTTAATATAAATTAAACCAACCACAAAAGTATTACTGCATGAAATCGTGTTTTCGAAAATTTATATTAATATTAGATTTTAAGAGAAATATAGACACCAAACAAATTAATAAGAGTTTTATATCATATATATCTCTATCCGAATATTATTTCGACAGCGCTAATAAACAAAGGCGCTGAGTAACGAAACGGTATTGAAACACAATATTAAAATGCATATTAAAAATTCGCTTCAATTTGAAACAAAATTGAAAATTATAACTGAAATCAATTTGAAGTTTATAATGAATATTAGCTTTATGGACAAAGAAAATGTTAGTTTAATTATTATCCTAAAAAGTAATACAAAAAACACCAATTTCTAAAGTAATTATTTGAATATCTTGTTAATAATATTCGAATATGAAAAGTATTTTCGCCGCTTAAAGTTTTTCGAATTCAGGGATGTTTAATTAAATGGTTTTTTAAATATTGCCATCTATGCTTAACTTATAGTTTTATAGCCGTGTGCGAGTTCGAGTAAATTGAGGTAATGTAAATTAAAATTTCCTAGGGATTTTTTGCAATGCACTTATGTAAATATTTATTTTATTTATTTTTTACATTTATATATATTTATTTATTGCACTTATTTATTATTTTTGATTAAATGTTTTCAAATTTATTTTATTTACTAAACATCTTATAAAATTTTCACAATGCTAATATCTAATTTATCCCACTCGAAATTCTGGTAAATACCAACATTTGCTGCCATACCGACATAATTTACTATTTTCCTCAATTCGCCATCAATTTACTCGAACTCGCATGCGATTTTTATTGTATTTTTGTTTCAAAAAAGAGGTTTAAAAATTTTATTTAGTATATTTAATAATGTTGGAGATGAACTATTTTAAATTAAATATTTTTTAGTTTTTTGCAATTACTTGTGCCTTTAAATATTACTTTACAAATATCTTTGGTTTATATTTATATCCTATTCACATGATAAAACTTAATTATAATACCGGAATTATGATATCGTTAGATTTTATATAAATTTTTTGTTATTTATTATAATGATCAGCTGGTTGATAGTACACGCTTATAATAGCCTATTTCCTCGACACAAGTAAACATAATATTGACTGTGTTGTTGTACATTCGGCTCGCTTAACTAAAAATCTGTTCACACGACAAGTATTAGTTTTACCTTGATTTGTTAATTAATTTTGTTTTCTCTCGGTGCGAAATTGTTTTCGTTTTATTTAAATTAGTAAAAATTATTCATAATTCTACGCAAATATGCTATTATGATTAAATAGTATCAACATCCATAACCCATAAGGAAAGATTACAAAAGAAGTTTTGAAATGAAATTTAATAGAAATATATTAGAACTTAAAAAAATGTGCCAAATAAAACATATGTAAATAAGTTTCGAATACTTATTTAGCCAAATAGTTTTAAAAATTACAAACATGTCAATCATAATTAATTCTTGCCTGAAATAGCCAATTTACTATTTCATTCACAAAAATTGTAATATTTCTTGTAATTTTATACATACAGTTTTAATATAACTACTTTATTAACAATGTATTTTTTTTAAAAATATTTATTAGTTTTTATATATATTTTTAATAATAATTTTTTTATGTCTAACAAATTAAATGTTTGCCAAAATTCTAAGTATATATGGAACAATCAACAAGCCAAAAAAATTTGATTAATTAAAAACAAAAAAAAAATGTATTATAATGTATTACAGTTTAAGAAGCTTTCTATTAATAAATTAGTTTCTTCTTCACAATTGAATTAAAAACAAAATTTAAATTTAAATCATTTTATTTACATTGGTAAAGTGTTTTCCAGCCAATTGAAATTTTATAGCCCAATTTAAAAACAGCTTAAACTTATATTAGTTTTCATACACATATACAGGGAAATAAATAATGATCTATATAAGTAATCATTTTGAAAATGATATCAATAAAACAATTATACAAAAATTGTAGCTTAAGTATTTAAGTAGCATATTTTGTTGAAATTATTATTATTCAACGTTATTGTCAATTTAATTATGTTTCTAAACTATGATAATGCTATAATAATACAACTGAAAGAAATTATTGAATGAATACACATATTATAATTTATGAAGCTTTATATAAATATTATTATGAAAAACAATATCTCCACAAAATGTTTGATTAAAATGGTTTTAATTCCACGCACAATGTTATTTACGTCTTTCTAATGTCGTTTTAAGCATTTATCATTTAAATATTTATTAAGAGCAATAAAATTTATAATATGAGAAAGTAAATTTTTTAAATAAAATATTGTATTAATGATAATAGTAATTGTTAAAAAGTATATTTATTTACCCAAAAAAGTCTAATTTAAAGAAGTATGAAACGCATTCAGTTTCTCATATTTAACTCCAATTCCCACGACCTTCGCATTAAATGCTTTGCTGTACTTGAGCAGAATACAATGTACAACATAATTTTTGTTTAGTGGTTAACTTGCACTTTTGTAATAAATGAAATTCGTAGTTACAAAACTTAAATAAATTTTGTTCTTCAGTTGGTTCGTAACTAATAGTATAAAGGTGCAATAATAATGAGAGTTTTAAATAAATTGATTGAATTTG